TCATCATCCCAGATGATAAAGATACTTTAAGGAAAGCACTCAGTACAAGTTTTGCAGCGAGAAAAGCCTGGAAATGATGTGCTCAAGCTTAGGAAAGGAGAAGGAAATCATAGCTTCAGAACTTGCCAGAAAGGTTCAGCAACTGAATGGAATGGAGGAACTTCTTGCTGATCTTAAGGCACAAAATGAGATCTTGTTGGCTAAAGTACAAGCTTGTGCTTCCGAGCACAAGGAAAGGAGGTCCGCAGGAGAGACTCAAGGAAATGCTGCCTTGCAAGAGCGAAACAAGGAACTTTCAGAACAACTTCTCAAATCCCTTGATGGCTATAGATCCCTCAAGAGGAAATACAGAGATGTTCAAGAAGAAAATAATGGCCTTCACAATACAATAGCAGAAATTGAGGGGCAAGTGAAAGTCCAACTCGAAAGTATATGGGAACTGAAAGCCAGGATGAACGAACAGACAGTGAATCATGAAGAGGAGATTTCAGCAATAGAGCATGCATTGGAGGACCTCACTTTCAAGACCTCTCAGCACCGCGAGAAGAAGGATTGTTCAAGACCATAGTCTGATATTATCAATGCCACTCAACCTTGTGTTCCTGCAATCACGAGTCACTCAGAACAGAGGAGAATCAGTATGGAATTGTTTAACTAGAGGGAAGCAGTTGTAGTATGAAAACTAGAAGCGATTAATCCAATTGACTAGTTAAGTTTCTTACCGCTGAAGTCCACTGTCTCCAAATTCCGAATACTTGTATACTTCTAAGTTTTGTTTACATTTCAATCTCTTCTGAAATGCAAGGATTCAAGTCCTCTAGCCACTCCAACATACATTTTGTTTTTTACCTGTCCTAAGCATGAAATTTATCTTTCAACATAGAATTGAGTAGCAGGAAACATAAAACCCAGCTTCTCTGTTACATTTTGAATCTTATAGTTGAACGAAATGCAATTATTAAAAGTTGGGTCATATATCTCTCCCTTACTTATAACTAATGCTTAACAATACCTGTGATCACCATCTCTCAAGCCAACCTTCCAATGGTCTCTAGAAAATTAAACAGTTATTTTCGTACCTATCTTCTTGGATCACAAAGTCCATACAACATCTGCATTGTCAACATTAGAACCTAAATTGCTGCCTTTCTAGGCCTATTTCACAAGTCATACCTACGAGTATCCTGTCATTTACAGCGACATGTTACAAATGTTTGGAGCTGAAGATGACTATCCACAACCTTTCAAACAAAACAAGTAGACAATTATTGGTTTAATTCAACCACAACTTGCTTCACTCTTTATCATTATATATCAAAGTCGAGGTACAGAGGAATATGAAAGTTCATTTTTCCCAAACTAGTTTGAAGTTGATTCAGACCATCTTCATGCACGGTCAGCCCACTATTGCTAGACATCATAAATATATTTATAGAACTCAAATTGAGGAAACGCAGGGTGGATAATCGTCACATCATTATGCAGGAAGATTTTGCATTTTGCATGCAGCAATTGAATTCAGTACCCATGAATTGCTCACAGCTTTGGCTTGAATTGAGCTCGCAAGTGCATATGCATCTGATTCCCTACGGCTCAAAATTAAATTCTGCTTTCCAGGATCATGCTTATCAGGCAGTTCAAGGCTGTAAACTATCAAGGTTGAATATCTATATGATTCGGATAACAAGGGTTCCTGATCGCCTGAAATGGGCTTTCTATGCAGGACTGTACCTCCAGCAGCAGCAACAAGATCTTGTAGATATCCCTTGTAGGAAGGCACAAAATCTCCCATGAAAAAAAACTTGAGCCCGTCAAAAGGCTTCGGTCCCTGGGATAACAAATGATCCATGAAAGTTTTAAGTCCATATACACATGCAGATACTACTTTATTGGTCGCAAATGATAATTAAAAAAAAGAGAAAACCTTATTAAGGAGTCTCAGTCTTCCAC